GCTTTGATCCCCTGCTGGGGGGAATATTTCAGAGGAAATCTGTGGAAGGCTCCAGTCCTGTTCCCTCTCTTCAACAATTTCAGGTGTGTATTATATTTGCCTTTCTGAATAAAAATTAAGCATCCTCCCTAGGGCCCTTCTTGTGATTTAGCTTTTTTAGGTCTGTGGATTTTGGCCTGGTTATCCTGTATTACATGGCTAATATCCACTTATAAGTGGGTATATATACCATGTGTGTCTTTCTGGGTCTGGGTTAACTTCTTCAGCATGATCTTCTCTATTTTCATACACTTGCCTGCAAATTTCATGATGTCCTTCTTTTTAACAGCTGTATTTAATACATTTAATAGTATTGCCATTGTGTACCACAATTTATGTATCCATTCTTTGGTTGAGGCACATGTATTTTGTTTCAGATTCTGGCTTTTACAAATAAGGCTTCTGTGAACATAGTTGAGCAAATTTCCTTGTTGTATAGTGGTTCATCTTTAGGGTATATCCCCAGGAGTGATACAGCTGGATCCTGAGGTACAGCTATTTCGAAGTTTCTGAGAAAGTTCCAGATTCATTTCCCAAGTGCTTATACAAGTTTGTATGCCTGCCAGCAGTGGAGGAGTATTCTCCTTGCTCTACATCCTAGCCAGCATGTTCTGTCACTTGCATTTTTGATTTTAGCTATTCTGATTGATGTGAGATTGAATCTCAGAGTTGTTTTGATTTGCATTTTCCTGATGACTAAGGATGTTGAGCATTTCTTTAAGTGTTTCTCTGCTTTGTTGATAATTTTCTGTTTAGCTCTCTACCCCATTTTTAAATTGTATTATTTGGTTTGTTGGTGTTTAAGTTCTTGAGTTCTTTATATATTTTCAATATGAATTCTATGTCAGGTGTAGAGTTGGTGAAGATTTTTTTCCCAGTCTGAAGGCTGTTGTTTTGTTCTGTTGATAGTGTCCTTTGCTTTACAGAAGTGTTTCAGTTTCATGAGATCTAGTTATTAATTGCTAATCTTAAAGCCTGAGATTTTGGTGTTTAGCTCAGAAATTTTTCTCCTTATACTTTGCCATGTTACAGGGTGAATCTTTCGATTCAAAAGGGGAGAATTAGGCATAGAAAAAAAAAAGGCAAAGAAAATTGGGATACATGAACACCAAAAGGCAAACACTAATTTCAGAAAGCTCAATGTCTTGTGTCTAGGACTGATGGTATCATCTGGGTTATAACAGGGTTAAGTTATATGCTCTGTCTTGCAGTTCTACCCCCTGTGATGCATGTACCTTTTCTCTAATTCCAATTCTAGTTGGTTTCTTTTGCTGAGGATCTGGCTGAAGACTTATTCCAGTTACCTCTATCTCCTAGAGGACTTTTTCACCATCCACAATTGAACATGGTAGCATACACTTCCCTGAGAGTGATTCGAGCCCTTTCAACAGAATTCTCAAATCCATCTGTTCAAAGGAATTTACATACTTAACAACTGGAGTTTTCCCTGGGTGGAGTGTCATCTTAAGGGTATCTTTTCACTTGTTTGAATTATCTGTATAAGATTTCTCCTCTTATATTTATGATTGTGAGCCTAGTCTTTAAAGGCTGAGCCGTCTAGCAGCTCTATTCATAATAACCAGAATCTGGAAACAACCCAGATGTCCCTCAGTGGAGGAATAGACACAGAAATTATAGCACATTTACACAATGGAATACTACACAGTTTTAAAAACAAGGAAATCATGAAATTTACAGAAAAAAAATGGATGGAACTAGAAAAGATTATCCTGAGTGAGGAAACCCAGAAGCAGAAAGACACACATGGTTTATATTCACATATAAGTGGATATTAGACATATAATATAGAGAAAACATACTAACGTCTGCACACCTAAAGAAGCTAATCAAATATTGTCACTTGAATTTTTGATCTTGGCCATTCTGATGGGTGTAAGGTGAAATCTCAAGGTCATTTTGATTTGCATTTCCCTGATGACTAAGGGTGTTGAATATTTCTTTACATGTTTCTCTGCCATTTGATATTCCCCTACAGAGAACTCTCTGTTTGGCTCTCTACCCGATTTTTTAAATTGAATTACTTCAATTTTTGGTTTTTAACTTCTTGAGTTCTTTATATATTCTGTATATTAGCCCTCTGTCAGATATAGGGTTGTGAAGAGCCTTTCTCAGTCTGTAGGCTGTCGTTTTGTTCTGATGACAGTGTCCTTTGCTTTTCAGTTCCATGAGGTTCCATTTATTGATTGTTAATCTTAGAGCCTGTGCTGTTAGTGTTCTGTTCAGGAAGCTGTCTCCTGTGCCAATGAGGTCAAGGCTCTTCCCCACTGTTTCTTCTAACAGATTTAGTGTGTCTAGTTTTATGTTGAGGTCTTTGATCCACTTGGACTTTAGTTTTGTGCAGGGTGATAAATATAATGAAAATACATGCTGGAGAGGAGGTGAAGAAAGGGAAACCCTACCCCATTGCTAGTAGGACTATAAACTTGTACAACCACTTTGGAAATCAATCTGGCACTTTCTCAGACAATTAGGAATAGTGCTCCTTCAAGATTCAGCTACACCACTCCTAGGCATATATGCAAAATATGCTCAAGTACACAACGACATTTGCTCAACCGTGTTTGTAGCTTTATTTGTAATAGCCAGAACCTGGAAACAACCCAAATGTCCTTCACCTGAGGAATGGATACAGAAATTTTGGTACATTTACACAAAGGAATACTACTCAGAAATTAAAAACAAAGAAATCATGAATTTTGTGGGCAAATGGTGGGATCTAGAAAAAATCATCCTGAGTAAGGTATCCCAGAAGCAGAAAGAGACACATGGTATATTCTCATTTATAAGTGGATATTAGACAGATAATATAGATAAACATACTAAAATCTGTACACATAAAGAGCTAAACAAAAGGAGGACCCCAAGTAAGATGATAAATCCTCACCCAGAAAGGCAAATGGAATGGCCATCAGAAGAGGGAGAAAACAGGGAACAGGACAGGAGCCTACCACAGAGAGCCTCTGAAAAACTATACCCTAGAGGGTATCAAAGAGTTGATGAGACTCACAGTCAAACTTTAGGCAGAGTGCAGGGAATCTTATGAAAGAAGGGGAAGATTAAAAAGTCCTGGAGGGGACAGGAGCTCCACAAGGAGAGCGACAGAACCAAAAACTCTGGGCCCAGAGGTTTTTTCTGAGACTGGATACTCCAACCAAGGACCATACATGGAGATAACCTAGAACCCCTGCACAGATGTAGTCCATAGCAGCTCAATCTCCAAGTGGGTACCCTAGTAATGGGAACAGGTGTTGTCTCTGACATGAACTTAGTGGCTGGCTCTTTGATCGCCTCCGTCTGGGGTGTACAGCCATGCCAGGCAACAGAGGAAGGCAATTTAGCCAGTCCTGATGAGAATTGATAGGCTAGGGTCAGATAGAAGGGGAGAAAGACCTCCCCTATCAGTGGACTAGGGGAGGAGCATAGGGGGAGATGAGGGAGGGAAGGTAAGACTCAGAGATTTGGGAGGGGGCTACTGCTGTGATACAAACTGAATAAATTGTAATAAATCTTTTTTTTTAAAGATTTCTCTTCTTTTTCTTTAACAATTACTGCTGGCTGAATTTCTTTAAACTTGCTCTGGAAATTCGTACTTTTTTCTATGAGAACACACATGAAGAGAAATCATGTAAACCACCAATATGCCAGTCATAGCATTCACATGCTGTTCATCCAAGGAAACAAGACACTTTGGAAATAGATCTCCAAACATGCCAGGTCACTTGACCCTATATCCAGCCAATATTGGTCTACAGTCCCATAGGAAATTACTAGCTGAAAGCCTGCAACATGATTATCCTTCCGAATGCCTATGTCAGAAATATAACATATGATAAAGGATTACCTGTGTTTTAATTCATGGTGTTACATGCACTTACCTTTCCACAGGAGTAAAAGAAATAAGGGATGTGATTAGCAAGAAAGAACTGGGACAATGACAATAGTAAACTGATTTTGAAATATACTGACAGCATTAGTATATTGTGTTCACTATGAATGAAAATTACCGGATGGTGGATAGAAGACAGAAGTACACTATTTCCAACCAGTTTTCACTGGCTGGAAAGCTAAGAGATTGTTTATACTCATTAATGATTGAGTTGAGACAGAGGAACAGATTGTGATAAAAGCCTCTGCAAGGTTATAAAAAGATAGATGCCAATATCTGTGAAAGTTTTTCATATATGTAGTTGAGTGAGCCATCACTGGTCATGCCTAAAATGTATGTACTTACTAAGTTTTTATTTGACCTTTAGGTTTTGTGCAGAGTTATTTGTTTTAATAAAAAAGAACTACTGTCTAATTCAATTATGAAGACTACAGGGGAATTAAAGATGGTAATTTATTTTGTGGTGGTGATTTTAGTGATGGAATATTAAAATGGACTGAAACTATAATAGTCACTAGATTGTTCACTGATATTTGTATTGTAAGTATCCCAAGGATGGATTTCTTTATAGCCTAAAACAGCACTCACATTTAGGTGTTCAACTTCCTTTTAAGTCTTTGAAAAGCCAGTTAAGACTTCTGAGCGATGATTCCAGTGAAAAGAGCTGTTACTATTTGGTTGATGTTATTTAAAAAAAAAAAAAAAGGTGATAGACCCATAAGATCAAAAGGTACCTAGATATGTTTAATTTTATAGGGACCTGTATCCAGTATTATTCCTAGTATCAGCTGTAAAAAATAATAGCAATGCTTTTGAAGGTGTAATGGAATATCCAAAGCCATGCTGAAGTGATTAATGTGTTTTATCATGTTTATTTCAAACATTCAACAAATAAAGAGACAGACGGGCTATGGGCCTACAGCTACACAGCAGGAGTTTTAAACATTATGTATATTATTGCTACTAGTTAACAGGATTTGCTAATCATCTAAGAAATCAATCCAAAAATAAGATTCTAATGAATATGAAACATTTTCTTTAAATTTTCAACTAGATATTCAATTGACAGAAACACAGACTTGGAGAGATATTTCAATATTGATGCCAACAGTGGAGTTATTACTACGGCCAAATCATTGGATCGAGAGACAAATGCCATTCATAACATTACAGTCCTTGCCATGGAGAGCCGTAAGTTGAAAGCTTTAAAATGACATTAGGATGGAGCAAGGTGAGAATAGAGAATGGATTTTTTTGAGATTAGGTCAGTTTAAGATATAATAGTTTTATGACTAATGTGAAAACACCCTAGAAAGTTCAAAGTCACCAAGCTTTAAAATATATCTAAGTCTATATTGCTGAAATATATAGTCAAAAAATGTGTAAAAATATGCTTATACTGACATAAATATGAGCTACGCCATCATTAAGATGAATTGTTTAGTTTACTGTTCTCATTCAGCACATTTTTTAAATCAGAAACTAGATATGCATGTACCTATATGCATGCATGTATAAATATATTCATGTGAAACACGTACATAGTTACCTCACATATGCACTTATATGGATATAAGTGTGTGTTTGAATATATACATATATAAATTAATACATTTATATGGGTCAGATTATCTGTGGTTCTTTTTAAACCAAATAGTATTATGAATCCAGTATTTTTAAGATTATATTTTAGAAAAGGAAAACTTTTAATTTTTTGCTTGTTTTTCATGTTTCTTGAATAAAGCAGTAAAAGTATGATGAGTATTTTATCAGAGTTTATTAGGAAATATTTTCTTATCCACCAGAGAATCCATCCCAGGTGGGAAGAGGCTATGTGGCTATCACTATACTGGATATTAATGACAATGCGCCTGAGTTTGCCATGGACTATGAAACCACTGTTTGTGAAAATGCTCAGCCAGGGCAGGTAAGAGGCTTCCAATCAACTTCAGTTTTGCTTGCAGTTTCCTTTAAAAGCATCCTGCAGTGGTGCCTCTGAAAGCTTTCAGATTTAAAATGACTCACAAAGTGCTTGTTTCAGCAAAATTAGCACTTTGATGTGTAGCACAAACTGATATTAAAGGAACTTTCAAATTCTTGTTTAATTGGGTGATGAATTTCTTAGGAAGAGAAGGTAAGCATTGTAAAAAGCCCTGATATGTGTTTAAAGACCTAGATTCTTTTAAGGAGGGCTGAAACACATTAAGCTTGATTGGACTGTTTCCCCCATTACTTTACACAGCAGAGATTAAATACCTTGAATTTCTAAGAGTTAAATGCAGTTCAAAGTGGCTTTGGCTTGTCCATCCATATTTCTGTCTTGTGATGTTTACTGGGATGTCTAATCAATTATTGCAGCTTGTTTCTGAGGTTCAGAAAAGTGAGTTCAAGCATGTACTTTGAAAAGTACATGGCAGAGACAGTCCCTGTTCCCCTAACTAGGGAACCCACTTGGATACTGAACTGCCATGGGCTACATTTGTGCAGAGGCTCTAGGTTATATTCATTCATGGTTTTTGGTTGGAGAAACAGTCTCAGAAAAGACCCCTGTGTCCAAATATATTTGGTCCTTGTGGAGCTCCTGTCCTCTCCAGGTCATACTAACTCCCCCTTCTTTCTTATGATTCCCTGCACTCTGCCCAAGGTTTTGTTATGAGTCTCAGCATCTGCTTTGATACCCTGCTAGGTAGAATCTTTCAGTGGCCTCTGTGGTAGGCTCCTATCCTGTTACTTGTTTGCCTCTTTGACCTCCCTCCCACCCTACACACCCATCCACAAGGGAGGAGCAGCCTTGCTAGGCCACAGAGGAAGACACTGTAGCCAGTCCTGAAGAGACCTGATAAGCTAGGGTCAGATGGAAGGGAAGGAGGACCTCCTCTAGCAGTGGATTTAGAGAGGGGCAGGGAGGAGATGAGGGAGGGAGGGTGGGATTGAAAGGGAATGAGGGATGGGACGACAACTGGGATACAAATAAATAAACTGTAATTAATAAAAAAATAAAAATTTAATTAAAAAAAGAAAAATACATGGTATGTTTTCCAAAGCCTAATATAGATTGAATTCAAATTGGTAAACCTGATCCATTCCCTGAACTCGTTGGGGAGGGGAAGACAGCATTTATGATGAGGTGTAGAATTGTGTCCTCCTGTAGAAATCTCAGCAGATCACACTAATATGTCTTTCTCTTTATATTCTCTCCACCTAGGTTATCCAAAAAATAAGTGCTGTAGATAAAGATGAGCCATCAAATGGACACCAGTTTTATTTCAGCTTAACAACAGATACAACAAATAATCACAACTTTTCATTGAAAGATAACAAAGGTAAGGCTGGTTTTGCCATTGCAAGCATTGTCTCCTAAACAAGCTCCGTTTTTCCCTTAGGAACTCTTATTATGGGGAGGAAAGAGAAGGATATTAATTAAAAAGCAAAGGCAATGAGCAACTTGAGTAATTTTTATCCCTGGATTTGCTGTCATGGAGGAGAAGGTGCTATTTAAATCATTTTAGGCATAGAGCCAAAAGCAAAATGTTAGGCCTTCATCTCTTGGCTGTCTCCTAGATATTTGCATCGTTATAAATGTGCTATGCTCTTTATCCAAATGATATCATATGTTGTAGGCCAGCTAAGACCCTTCATAAGGATTGTGCTATTTTGACACTACTTGAGAACTCAGAAAATAATTGAATTATATTCATTTATAGTTAAGTCAATAGTCACATAATATTCTCAACAGTAATATCGATTATTCCATTTTATGAAAACATACATATAAAGTCTAATAATAATAATACATTCAAAAAATAGAAATTGATTTGGATAACTTGGAATTAGAGGATAATGACACAACAGACATCAGTCCTCATAAACATATTGTATGTGATTGAACACAGTTTGCTTCTTACTCCATTGAGAGTTCTTTACATGTATAAACTGGTCACTACCCTGACCAGAAACTATGGAAATGCCTTGTTCTGCGTAAGTAAACAAGGGGGAACACAGCCACTCCCTCATCCTCAGAGGAGTTGATGGGCAGCATTTAAATTACTGTGTTCTGCTTGTTAACTGAAACAAACATGCACCTTTGTTTTGTTTTTTTTTCCATATTGTCATTATACCGTCTCTCATAAAATGCTTTTGAATTAATGAAGAAAAGACAAAATGATAAATAATGAAAAATAATCTCTCATGTCATATTTAATTTCCTTGCTTTAAAGTTAGCTATTCCTACCAAGCCTTAAGTGTTACTATAGGAATACTTTACAAGTACCTGTAAGCAGATTTCTATTTTGTTAACACATGTTAATAACTATAAGACATTCTACAGAAAGCATTAGAATTTACTCATATTTTATAAAGGTTTTCATGAGAATCAGGTTTAGTTTTAAGATAAACTGTCCAAGTGACTTACTGGGAACAGATATACTTTCGGAGGAAATTTAGGATGTCTTTTGCCGGAGGATACAACTTTAGTGCAAAAACACTGATCTTTGCTTGGAAAATTCAATCTGAAAGTAATAATTTCTTTCCCGATCCCATTCTCTATGTAATGAGAACACTCTGTTGTCCCTTTAGTAATATAAAAGAAAGAGCATTCTCTCAGTGGGTAATCCCAAACTCTCTGACTTAATCATTGCTGGAAAGGTTCGCTCTCAGTTCTTGGAGTTATCTAGCACAGATACAGACAGGGGAATATATGACCTTCACAAGAAGATGGTGAATATATCCCTCATGTGCCAAAGTCTAATAGCATCAAGATTGCTGTACAGTATATACAAGAAAATGTCCAGATGCATGAAGCATCCATTCTGCCACACAGCTGAAAATGTCACTGTGTCTCACAGAGCAAGCCCAAAGTTCCCCAGCCTCTACCTTGAAGGGCATCAATAGAAAAGGTAGAAATTATTCATGTTGTCTTCTATATTAGGGAAGCAAATAAAGAGTATCATTAATTCTGCTTTCTTGATCACATGTTTTTTCACATGCTGAACATTTTGGCTTGTGCTTGTGTGTGTGTGTGTGTGTGTGTGTGTGTGTGTGTGTGTGTGTGCATCTGTGCGGTGTGTTTGTGATTGATTGCTTCTGTGTATGTGTATATGTGTCTATATGTCTATGATTTTTATATCATTTGTGTTAGACTATCAATAAAGAACTTACTGAATCTTTTATATCAATTCGTAAAAATGGTTAATATCAACATATGTAGACGCAAACCCATGATTGTATTATTTGTGTATTAAGGGTATAGAGACATAAAGGATATTCCTAAACAATTCCATGCTTAATTATTCAGCTAATACAATTTAAAAATTCATAGTTTGAAACTGAACATTTAAAACATTAACATTTTGAAGATCATTTCAAAATCTGTATATATGAAAATATAGTAAATAGAAAATGATACTAAATATTTATGTTGTGTCTAATCTAATCTTACAGTTAGTTTTTTCTATACTACTGTTGAATATGAACATGCTGTTTTGTGCTGCTTAAGACAAAAATTACCTCAGCTTGCTCTCTTTAAAGTATTATTTATTTTTATGTTAATATTTAATAAGTGAGTTCTTAATTATTTAGAAGGGATTATCAAATTAAAAGTATATCTGCATACTGAATGAGAGTATGACCCTGATTTACATTCTTTTCTTTTCTTTTTTTTTTTTACTAGTTAGTATAAACTCTAAGAATCCTGTAAGTTCATATTAGTTAATTAGGAGAAAATACATAAAAAAGATACCCGCAACTGAATTTATTTCTGTAGTGTAAAATTCAGTTATGCAAATATATCGATTAATTTTCAAATGTTTATAGATTCTGTAATTTTTAGATAAGATAAAAATAAATTAAGATCTGTGTTATTAATAAAATATTTATGAGTATGCTACTTTAGAAAGCATGAATAATAATTTGATATGTAAAAATGATTCAGTAATTCCATTTTTGAATATCTGTGTTAACTATGTCCTACCTATTTTTTTAAATCTTCGATGGATCACGCCTAAGATTATATCACCTAATGAAATCATAAGTAGCTTAGCTTATGCCAGTAAACCATAATGTGACCATAGGAAATGGCCTGGCTCATTTCTCAGAACATTTGACCTAGTTCAGAGATACTTGACTACATATCAATTTAAATAAATGCTATGGTGTCTTATAATACTTTATTAATCTGGAAACCTTACAAATAAGATGTGGATTTGAAATGATGCTGAAAAGCCGTATCTGTTAACTTACAACCTTTACCACTCTTTCTATATGTAAAAGGATAAAAGACATACTTTATAAAAATTCCACTTAATAAAACATTTAGTTTTTTTTTTTTTTGGCTATTTCTAGAGGATCAGGAATACCTTAAGATAAATTACAAAGACATATATCTCTCTGTCCGAAGAAATTTATTGAAGGGTTTTAAAAGAGAAAAGTATGCCATAACTGTTTTGCCAGTAAGGAGAAAAGTCGAAAGAGTTCCAGGGCATCATGATGCAAGCCTGTAATGTCAGTATTCTGGGAGGCGGTTAGGCTGATCTGTGTGATTTCCAGGACAGCCTAGTCTACAAAGAGGGTCCAGGACAACCAAAGGCTAGACAGAGAAACCCTGTCTCAAACAAAAGAAACAAACAAAAAGAATGACTTCAAGTTTGTAAATATAAAGCTGATCAGAAGTCTTGTTATACATTTTTGTTCATCCTAGACAACACAGCCTCAATATTCACCAGGAGAAATGGCTTCCGCAGACAGGAGCAGTCGGTTTACTACCTGCCAATTTTCATTGTGGACAGCGGATCTCCTTCTCTGAGCAGTACCAACACGCTGACCATCCGAGTCTGTGACTGTGATGCTGATGGCGTAGCGCAGACCTGCAATGCGGAGGCTTACATTCTACCTGCTGGCCTCAGCACAGGAGCCCTGATAGCAATACTGGCCTGCGTCCTGACACTATTGGGTAGGTACTGATTTCTGTTCTTGCTTTGTAAGATCAATTACAAGAACCAAAGACTATTCTTATTTCATGTAGAGGACCTAGGCCCAGTCCATTCATCGCATCTGGTTCATGTTTCAGACTCCATAGGCCCCTCTGGGCCCTGGTTAGTTGGCTCTGTTGGTCTTTTGTGGAGCTCTTGTCAACTCCAGGTCCTTTTATTCCCTCCCCCCACACACACACACACTTTTCCTCTAGACTCCCTATGCCTCGCCTAATGTTTGACTGTGAGTCTCAGCATCTGTTTCAAACTATTGCTGAGTAGAACCTCCCGGAGGACAATGAGGATAAGCTCCTGTCTACAAGCATAGCAGAGTATAATTAATAGTGTCAGGGACTGACTTTCTTTCATGGGGTGGGTCAAGAGGCATTGGTTGTACCTTCTCTTGATCTCTTCTCTATCTGTTCTATCTTTGTCCGAGCAGGTCTTGTAGACAAGGTAAGTTTTAGATCAAACTTTTTTGGGTGGTTTGGTGTTCTCCTCTCTCCATGAGGAGTCTTGGCTGCTTCCAGGGTATCTTCTTCAGTCTCGATGGCCCCTGCTATTAGGACTCTCAGCTAGAGTTCCCTCATATTCTCCCAGAGGCCTATTCTGACTTAGGACTCTAACTTGTCACAGATATGCCTCCACCCACCATTTTCTTTTCTCTGCAAGCCTTCTGTGCTCCCACTACCTTACCCCACTCTCCCCAGATATGATCTCCACACTTAGTTCTCTCTGAATTTCTGCTTCTACCTTGTTCCCACTATTCAATCATTACTTCTGTCTATCCTATTTCCCCTTTTCAATGAGATTCAAACATCCTCTCTTGGGTCCTCCTTGTTGCGTAGCTTCTTGATATCTGTGCATTGTAGTATGTCTAGTTTGTATCATATGGCTAAAATCCACTTATACTTGAGTACATACCATGTGTCTATTTCTGGGTCTGTGTTATGTCACCCAGGACGGTCTTTTCTAGATCCACCCATTTGCCTGCAAATTTTATGATTTCCTTGTTTTTAATGGCTGAGGGGTATTCCATTGTATATGGCATCACAAACTTAACTTCCTGTAAATTATTACCACATTTAACTACTTTTCTGAGACTAAGTTATTATTTAGCTGAATAGACTTACAGATCATATTATTATTACATTTGCATAGGCGGTTATACAGCATTTTTTTAATATTGGGAGTCATCCAACATGACCATAGAATAATGAATGGCTTTATTCTAAACTATTTTCAATCACATTGTAAATTCCTACAAGGATTACAAACACTGAACTTTGCACTTGCTGCTGTACTGTGTGTTTTCTTGGAGTTTGATAGGATTAGTGAATCCATTTACAGTCTGTGTTTATAAAGACAGAATTTGGGCTGAAGTAAGCATGTCCTGCTGTTTGAGATAGATTTTGGGAGCTATCTATCTGGGTCCTATTTATTACCCATGTTTTGCTTTAGTTCTTTACAAAAAGATGCTAGTTTCTTTGTAAGATGGCGTCATAGTCTCAAAGGTCAACTTATATAAGTAGTCTTGTAAAGATGTGAGAATTAAACAGCATAATTCATGTACAGTACTGCATGCCTGCTAGATAGTGAGCATTCAATTTGTCTTTAGGTGTTATTGATGGAACAAAAGTCCTCACTCCATTAATCAAGCCAAGACTTATTTGCTAATACAGTGTAAAGTCTCATAAAATGGAAGAAACTGTCTCTAATAACTTCAGCTATACAAATAAATCTAGAAGAAAATAATTAAAGTATTATTTCAAAAGTATTATTTCAACTTCCAGAAATTCATTAAAAATGACAGGTAATTCACACTTAAAATGTGATTAGAATATAAGGACTAAGTAAATATAATTAAAAAAAGCATTCTGAATAAATGTTTTCTTGCTCTACTTAGATTCTAAAACATAATAATAAACATGAAATTGCATATTTACTTTATAAAAGCAGAATAACACACATAAAATATAAAACCATTATATCTAGAAAGATAATGTCTTCACTTTGAAACAACTGAATCATGGAAAGAAAAAAAGAAAGACAGACAGTGGGTTTGACATTTTAAGCTTTGACAGTTTATCACAAACCAACACACACAAAAATCCACTTTTCCTGCTCTCAGGAACAAGATACACCTGACTAGTCTCTCAAATTTGATTATTACTGATAGTGATAGTGACTCTTTGTCTGCTGAAGCTTGTTTCCCCTCTAATATATAATGTCTATGGTGGTATTGGTGGTATTTAACTTTCTTGCAATCAACACTGCTTGACTCTTTCCTAGTTTATAATCATCAAACTGTTACTGAAAGTAATACAGTTTTACTAGCATCCATCCTTGGATCTCTCTTTCTCTCTGTGTGTCTCTGTCTCTGTCTCTGTCTATCTGTGTATATGTGTGAGTGTGTATGTGTCCCGCTTTCTGTCTCTGTATGTGAGTGATATGCTGTGTATGTGGTGAGTGTACATGTGTGTTGTCTGTGAATGTGTAGAATGTGATATGAGTATGTATTGTACGTATGTGTGGTATGTCTCTGCGTGTGTGTTGTGTGTATGTGTTCATCTGTGTTGACTAGGGTGACTGTAAGTATAAAATCTTTGTTTCTTTCAGGAATGTTACTTGAGAATTAGATAAGCCACTTCTATTTCTAAGAATCTCTTTTTTTTTTGTCATTTTACTTATAATTTAAAGTTTCTACAGCTTTACCAATAGATTATTCAAAACAGAACATTTTCACATTGAAAATAAGTATTGAAACAAGGACTTCTACCTACAAGTTTCATATCAACAATGAAACTATAAATATCCAGAATATTACAAAATCAGCCATTCAGGTTTGAATTTTATTTCACAAGTTGGTGGTAGCATATAATTAGAACCTTTGAAGTCTTTCTTTTCCTGGCTTCACTATTATAAACTGGACATTGATATGGTCAGTTTTGAAGCCAAGGAAATTTAGTTTTCACAGGTGTGCAGATGGAGTACACACCTGATTTCACATGTACAAAGAGCTCATTTTTGTCACGTATAAAAAAATGTTGTGATGCTTGGCTCTAGTTGTTAGATGCCAGGGTCTTTTCACACCCTGACAAACTTATTAACAAGTTTTTCTCTATAAAAGTGAAGGTAGAGTGTGCCCCCTCCCTTTCTGTCTCTTCTGCTGCCATTGTACCCATGAAAAAGCTTGTGGTGAAGTGGGGCAAAAAAATAAAAAAATTAAAATTAAAAATTAAAAAATAAAAATTTGGGGGAACTATTATATTTTTGTACCAATAGTATTTGGTTTTATCCTAGACCTCTGTACTATCTAGTCTCTGGTTCTTGGTTACCCAGACAGTGTCGGGTATGGGCTACTTCTTGTAAAATGGGCCCTAGATCAAATCAGATATTGGTTGGCTTCTCCCACGAGTTCTGTGCTACCATTTCCCTAGCATGTTTTGCACTGGCGTTCTAGTACACAAAGTTTTGCATCACCTCCACAAATCTCCACCGCCTCGTTCCAGCTACTCTCTCCACACACTTTCCTTCAATCCCAACTCCCATAACCTGATCCCCTCATCCCCATCTGCCCCAAGTCTGCCATAAAATCTATTCTCATTATGCCTCCTGGGGGAACCCCAAACTCTACTACCACCCCAAACCCTGTTCCTTTCTTGGTCTAAAGATTGTAGCTTGATTATCACTTACTTAATGGCTAATATTTCCTTATAAGTGAATATATACTATATTTTTCTGGGTCTGGATTACCTCACTCAGGATGATTTTTTTTCTTCTTCATTAAGTTGTCAGCAAATTTCATGATGTAATTTTTTTTAACAGCTCAGTAATATCCAATTGTGTTAATTTACCATTCTTTTATTATCCATTCTGTTGTTGAGGGTCATTGAGGTTGTTTCCACTTTCTGGCTTTTATGAGTATGAACATGGTTGAGCAAGTGTCCTTGTTCAAAGGAGCTTCCTTTGGGTCTATGCCCAATAATGGGAGAGCTGTGTCTTGACATAATCAACTTCCAACTTTCTGAGGGACTACCATAATGATTCTCATAATCACTGTACAAATTTGTACTCTTACTATCAAAGAAGGAGTCTTCTCCTTGGTCCACATCCTTGCCAACATGAGCTGTCACTTGTGTTATTCTGACAGGTGTAAGATGGAATCTCAATGTAGATTTGATTTGCATTTCTCTAATGGCTAAGGATGCTGAACACTTCTTTAAGTGTTTCTTGTCCATTTGAGATTCCTCTATGAAGAATTATCTGTTTATATCTGTACTTCAGTTTTTAATTGGATGATTTTTTAAATCTCTAGTTTCTTTAGTTCTTTATATATTTTAGATATTAAATCTCAATCAGATGTGGAGTTAATACAACCCTTTTCCCATCCTTTATTTATCCCATCCTGATTTATCCAATTAATGAAGTGTCTGTGCTATCTGTATTCTGTTCATAGACCCCTGCTCTGTGCCAATGCATTCAAGGCTGTCCCTCACTTTCTCCTCTATCAGGTTTGATGTACTTGGTTTTATGTTGCTTTTATAGTAATATATATTTAAAAGACTTATTTATTTTCATTCTATGCATATTGGTATTTAATCATCATGTAAACCTGTGTACTATGTGTATACACAACACACAGAAGCCAGGAAGGAGGCCTCACATTCCATGGAACTGTAGTTATGACACTTCACTTGGGTGCTAAGAATTGAACTTAACCTCTAAGCTGTCTCCTCAGACCCCAGTGACTGCTTCTTCATTACAGGAAGGAAAGGAATCTTGTCACTCATTTGCTAACTTTTCTTCTTCAAGCTTAAATTTCATAACATGCAAAGTTAGACATGTCAATCTTCACCTTCATCTGCATTTTCTAACCTTGAAAGTGGTTTTTATTTCTTCTGCTTGCCCTCACCACTCTTTGAAGCACATATACACCTTAAAACACTAAATGAAAGCACTATCCCCAAACTCAGAGTAT